ATGCGTATAACAAATGCAAGGGATTTACATTTTAAGATATGAGTTAGTGATTTACCTAACAGATTTTCACCCACGTGAATTTTGGAATTTTATTGGCCCATTATTTAACATCGGGTGACAAAGCCATTCCCTCACTCTTGAGAAAACATTTCAACATTTTTACAAGAAAAAGTAAAAGAATTCAATTTGGAAGGTAAAATTACATGTATTGTAACTGATAATGGTTCCAATATGGTTAAGGCAATTAAATTGTGGGATGGAGTTGAACATTTACCATGTGCTTCTTACACATTGCAACTTTCTATTAATCATGCTTTTAAAAAATCAAATACTTATATTAAGTGTATTAAACAATTAGTTAAATTTTTTGCTAAATCACCAAAAATAAGTGAACATCTTGATAGGGCTCAAAAGGAGTGTAGATATCAAAACAATAATGATGATTTTGATAATAGTAGTGATGATAATAGTGATATTGAAGATAATAATGAAAACGAAGATGAAAACAATAACAATAATAATAATGATGAACCTATTTTACAAAATATAGCAGATGTTAAAACTCAATGGAACTCAAAATATTATTCATGGCAATGACTTTTTAAATCATGTAAAGTTATTGAGTGGTTAGGTACAACTTTTCCATTATCTGATAATTCAAATGATCATGCAGATAGTTACAAACTTAAAAATTTATTATTGAAACCTTATGAATGGAATTTGTTAAACCAAATTGTAGATTTATTGAAACCTTTTAATGATGCTACTACATATTTCAGTGGAACATCATATGCAACATTATCAATAATATTTCCTGTAATACTATAACGAATCTACTAATTTGTTTTAGAAAATAAATATCAACAAATATTTATTAGCGAAGTTTGTGGTTTATAATTAAATTATTTTACAAGACTTGCTTGTTCTTTATTAATCATATGTTATATTTATATAAAAATACATAATTAATGTTACATAATATAAATATATAATAAATAGTATCTTAGGTCTTACAAGACCAATCCGGATGGTTACATATGATAATTAATAAATAAAATATAATAAAAGAAATAAAATAGAATAAGATAAATGATTAACACATGGGATTGCAAATCTATTGTATATCAAAGCTAATCACATATGCTATCATTCATTATCAAAATATAAAGATAAAAATATAAATAATAAAATAGAAAATAAAATAAGATAAGTATAATAAAATAGAAAATGAAATAAAGTAAATATAACTACGTAGAGGATGTGACAACGAAACTGTTACATTCCTCCCTACTTAGAATTCAACATCCTCGTGAATTCTCAAAATTTGTTACCATGTCAGCAGCATTTATCAAGTTTTTCTTGGGCTCCCATGTGGCATCATGCAATGGGTATCCTTTCCATTTGACCAAGTAGAAGGGTTTTCTACGCATTAGTTTCTTGTCCAAAATTGTTTCTACTTCATATTCCTCTTTATTGGTTTCAGGAATAATCTCTGGTAGTGGTGACAGGTTACAGTTAAAGTCAGTTAGATTTTCTTTATAAGGTTTTAACATTGATACATGGAAGACAGAATGGATCTTCAGATTAGAAGATAGTCTTAGTCGGTATGCGGTAGTGGAAATAACTTTTTCAACTTTATAAGGTCCCATAAATTTAGGAGCGAGCTTGTGGGTTGGTTAGTTAGTTTGTACAGGATCATTGATATTAATGATATTTACTAGAACTTTATCTCCTTCTTCAAAGGTAAGTTCACAGTGGTGTTTGTTGGCATATTGTTGTTGTCGTTCTTGGGCTAAGTGCAAATTATCTTTTGTAAGATTAATAATATTCTCCCATTTTAATAGAAAGTCATCAGTTGCGGCGACATTTGTTTGTTTTCCAGTTGCAAAAGTAGTAGGTGTATTTGGGTGTTGTCCTAAATCAATTTCAAAAGGTGTAAAACCAGTAGATAGATTTTTAGAGTTATTATAAGCAAATTCTACTGCAGGTAACAATTCATCCCAATTGTTTTGTTGGTAATTTGTATAAGCTCGTAACATTTCTTCCATTGTACAGTTCATGCATTCGGTTTGGCCATCTGTTTGTGGGTGATAAGAGGTTGACATTGCAAGTTTTGTTCCCAATTTTTCAAAAAGTGCTTTCCAAAAGCGACTGGTAAATTTAGGATCTCTATCAGAGATAATGACTTTAGGTAGTCCATGGTTTTTGAATATAGTATTAAAGAATATTTCAGCTACTTGTGGGGCTGTTACATCAGTAGTAGTAGGAATAAAATAGGTTCGTTTGAATAGTTTTTCTACAAAAACAACTATTGCATCATGTTTCTTTGTGGTTTTTGATAATTGTACTACAAAATCCATTGTAATATGATCCCATCAGCATTCTGGTATGTCTAGGAGTTGTAATAGTCTAGCAGGCACTTGGTTGGAGGCTTTATTTCGTTGGCAGGAGTCACAACTAGTGACATAATTCTTTATATCTTTTTCCATTCTTGGTCAAAAATAATTTTGTTGCACTAACTCCAAAGTCTTTTCAGTACCTAAATATTTGGCAATAATTGAATCATGACATTCATGTAATAAAAGTGTTCGTAATTCCTTATTATTAGGAATTGCAAGTTGTTTTTCACTTTTGAGATAAATTAAATCATCATGGAGTTCAAAGTTGCATGCTTGGGGTTTGCTTTCTTTGAAAGTTAAGGTTTGAAAATTGGTTCAAAATAAGAATCATTTTTGTGTTCATTAATCAATAATTCTTTATTAATTAGGTTGGTATTAAGGGTATTAATATTTGAAAGTTGGGGAACTCGAGATAATGCATCAACTACCACATTTGTTTTTTCCGGTCGGTATTTAACATCAAAATTAGATGATTGTAAGACTTCAAGCCATCTAGCTTGTCTTCTGAAGAGGTTTAATTGTGATTTAATAAATTTCAAGGCTGCGTGATCTGTAATAATTGTGAATAGTTTTTCTTCAAGATAGGAACGCCAAAGTTTAATAGCATGAACTATTGCCAGTAGTTCCTTTTCATGGGTTGCATAGTTTAATTCAGCAGAATTTAATTTCCTAGATTCAAACGCAATAGGTTGGTCACCTTTACCATGGTCTTGGCTCAGCACAGCTCCAATGGCAGTGTTAGAGGCATCAGTAGTTACAGTAAAAGGTTTGGTTTGATCTGGAATAAGTAAGACAGGTGCAGAGGTTAACTTCTCTTTTAATTTATCAAAAGTTTCCTGTTGATCTGGTTTCCATTCATATGGTATGTCCTTTTGTAATAAGGTAGTTAGAGAGGAGGCAATGGTAGAGAAATTTTTTACAAATTTCCTGTAATATGAAACTAGTTCCAAAAATGATCTAAGTTCTGTTAAGTTGGTAGGATTAAGCCATTTTTTAATTACTTCTACTTTCCTTTCATCAACGGCAATTCCTTCACCGGATATATAATGTCCAAGATATTCAACTTTGTTTTTGAATAATTCAAACTTTTTTAATTTGACATATAATCTATATTCTCTAAGTTTTGATAATACTTTGTGCAAATGTTTCAAATGGTCTTCTTTTGTTTTACTGTATATTAGAATATTATCCAAATATATAACCACAAATTCATCAAGATATTTATGAAAAATATCATTCATTAGAGTCATGAAGGTTGCAGGAGCATTGGTTAATTCAAAGGGTAAGACTAAAAATTCATAATGACCATATCGATTTCGGAAGGCAGTTTTATAGATATCTTCTTTTTTGATTTGAATTTGGTGATATCCTGAGTATAAATCCAATTTGAAAAAGTATTTAGCACCAACAAGTCGATCCAGTAAGTCTTCAATTTGAGGTAGTGGGTAGCGATTCTTAATGGTCATCTTATTAAGAGCTCGATAATTAATACAAAGTCTCAAGGTTCCTTCTTTTTTATGAACAAATAAGACAGGAGCACTAAAAAGAGATACAGAAGGTTGAATAAATCCTTTTTCCAAAAGGTCAGAGAGTTGAACTTTTAATTCCTTTATTTTATAATGAGATAGTCAATAGACAGGTCGAGATGGAGGTTCCATGTCAGGTATAAGATCAATTGCGTGATCCAATCTTCTTTCTGGAGGTAATCCATTAGGCAAAGTAGTAGAAAAAGTGTCATTAAATTCTTTCAAAAGTTTCTTAACTTCAGGAGGATATACCAGTTGTTTTTCATTAGAGGTTTCTT